GCCAGGGTCCTGCCGGGAGGCGGCGCTGCCCCCGCAGACGCAGATCCCCCGACACGGCCGCGCCCACAGCCCGCAGCCGGGACCCCGCGGTTTAGGGGCGAGCCAGCGGTCCCCTGACACTTCAAAGCCAGTCACTTCTCTCCTAGTGTCGCTTTCTTCTGGGAGACCACAGAAATAAGTCATTGTAGTGGCATAACGCGTGAGCTGTAAATCCGCTTTCCCAAAAAACTTGTTTCCCCAAATGTCACTGAAGAGTTCAAAAGAATATAGTTCAGGTAAAGTGCACCTTCGTTTTTCCTTTCCCTGGAGTCAGAATTGATGATTTAATTAAATTAACAAGAACGAAACACTTTCAAGACTCCACTCTACGAGTGTTAAAGTTCACTTTTTTAAAGATATGAAGACAGATTCCGCCTTAACAGCTGTGCTTGTTATTGAGTAATGTGGGAAAGTATCATTTGTTTTTCCTTTATGCAAAATATGCCATTTAACAGTAAAACTAACACCTGGTAATGAAAATCAGAGCACAATGGTGGTCTCTGGGAAGCTGGTGATGAGAAAGAAGCGCTGGGGAATTTTAGGGGGTAATAGGTATGTTTTACTCTTTGAGGTGTGACATAAATTTACTATGCATTTGCCAAAATTCACCTCACTGAAGATCTCTTTACTGCACTGTTTGTAAATGTTATCTCAATTTTGTAAATCTAAAAATATGCTATTTGCAGGCCTCTGATTCTATCATTTCATTTTTCTAAAGATGGCACAATTATTCACTTATATGATCAGAGGTACCAAGTTTTTTAAGAATTTATCTTGGAAGATAAATTAATACGAGTAGTACTAATTAAATCCCATACAAAGTTTCAAAGAAGGCTTTAAGGTCATCATCCAGTTTCACTGCCAGTAGAATTATCTAGTCTAATACCCATTCATCAATTCAAGCTGGGATTCATTTTCAAATACATACCACATAGTCCCTGGCATTTGCAGCTTTGAAAGCAAAAGCTCAGTGGAAAGAATGGGACGTGGAGTTAGATAAAGCCTAAATTAAATTCCAGCCTGCCCCTGCAACCTTGGGTAAATTACTTAATCCCTCCTTCCCTCTGCTGTAGAAGGCATATAATAGTTATTTTGAAATTTTGCAGTGACTAAGTGAAACATATATAAGGCAAGTCTCTCTGCATTAATCTTTTGAGACACACTCCCCAAAAACCACTCTTCAGGGGTCAGAAGATCTAAATCCAGGTACAAGAAGCTGTATCATTATGCATTTTTTAAGTAACAGCTTTATTGAGATGCTTGGTCAATTATGTCTTCATTAGAGTTCTTGCCAAACTGCATTACTATCTTTACTGGACATTTGAGATATAGTTTACACTTTTCTAAAAGAAGGCAACATAACAGCAAAGGAAGAAGAAAGCTTTCAGAACCATGGTATGGTCTTATCAGTACTGAACTAAATTAATCTGGTTCTTAAGATACTTTAAATTCCCTTTCAGGGTCAGTGACTGGTCTGTACACTGTACAAAATTTATACACAATCTCAGTAACTCCCTTTATGCAAATAGATAGGCCTTTTATTTCTTGGGTAATGCTCTGAGAGAAAAGCTATAACTGACTCACGATTTCATTATCAGGACACAAGGAAGAACATGAATGACCCAATTTTCACACTGCAATAACAGCTTGTAATAACATGATCTTACATGTGTGTAACCTGACTTTTCTGTAGTGCTTCCCAAATCAATGGGAAAGACAGAACAGATCTCAGATAGGCTGAACCTTTACAAGTGTGGTTGAGAAGCCTCTTGGAAAGAGTAATCGACACAGATTTAGGTTTGATAGTCAACTCATGCCAAAGTACCATAATCCAAAAATCACTCAATTCAATTAATACTGAACTAGGAATCTACCATGGATAGTCGGTGACCTAGGCCAGTGAGAATTCAAAATAAGTGTTATATGACAGTCTTTGAACTTAAAGAAACCCAATGTCTCTTTTTTTTTTTTTTTTGAGTCTTATTGTCATCCAGGCTGGAGTGCAGTAGCATGCTCATGGCCACCAGAGCCTCGACCTGCTGGGCTCAGGAAATCCTTCTGCCTCAGCCTTCTAAGTAGCTGAAACTACAGGTACATGCCACCACCCGGCTAAGTTTTTGATTTATTGTAGAAACAAGGTCTCGCCAACTTGCTCAGGCTGGTCTTGAATCCTGGGTTCAGGTAATCCTTTTGCTTCAGCCTCCCAAAGTGCTAGGATTACAGGCTTGAGCCACCTCTCCTGGCCGTCTCTCTTTCCTTATTGCATCAGGACAACAGTTAAGAGAACAGTACAAAATACAGTCAAGTGTATGGAACAGACAGTAACTCTTATGGAGTTAAAAAACAGATTTTTCTAGGGCAGATGGGATTGAGCAAAGTATAATTTGTAAGTGAGAGTGAGGTGGGTAAGTGAATGGGAAGAAGTGATGAAGTCTGGACAGAGAAAGGAAATGCGTCCAGGAACAAGAGGGGACGCCTCAGGCCATTCCCTTGTCCAACACCTTCCACTTACTAGACATGCTTACTAGGTCCTAGTGAGCCTAGTTGGCCAGGCTCTTCTCCCACACGGCCTTTCCAGAGTCCTCCATCAGTACTGAGGGTTCCTCCTCTGTCCACCACATGGTACCTATGCTCCTTTCACAGCACTTACCTCATTCCATCATCAGAGAAAGTTGCTTATGTGTCTGTTTTCCCACTTAGGCTACTGTTTTCTTAAGGGTGGGAATGTATCTCATACACCTGTGTATCCCCTTCTCTCCCAAAGTGCCCCACAAAGTTCCTCACACAAGTCAATATGTGTTCCAAAAAAATATTTTTTTCATTGAATGGAATAGGATGTAAAGGAGAATAAAGTGGAGCCAAACTATACATAGTTATATATGCTGGCGTTCATTCATTCAGTAAATATTTACTGATGCTTATTGTTTGCCAGGCCCTGTACTAGGATCTGAGATCTATCTATGAACAAACCAGATAAAAATCTCTGCCCCTGTGGAGCTTACACTCTTGATCTATCATAAGGGGTGAGATTAGCAATAAATTTACATAAATTCAATCATACCTACTGGCAAAAGACACACACTTAAATAGCACATTAATGAATGAGTTAAGAGTCTACTGCAATATGCAGTTTTTATTATGTATTGTACCTACTATATGCATAAAATATTCATAACTATGCCTCACTCCACAGGGATTCAAACTTTAGGACTATAGAGAGAACTTTCTTAGTAATTTAGGAGATATTCAATGAACATTTTGAGTGTGTTCAATTTTTTTCCTTAGGCACAGTCTTTAAAACCTAACCACCTAACAAGTTTTGACTCTACTGAACCAAAATGAAGACCCTGAGATTGTTGGGCAAAACGGACTACTTTAAGTATTTGAGCATGAGAATGATGACATGAGTCCATGTTCTCTCACATTTAACAGGGAAAAAGAGAGAGTGCATTCACATGAAGACAGGGTCAAGCAACAGTGGAATTCACCTCAAGAATTTTTTAAAAACCAAACCAGCTCATGACTCATTTCCCATTCTTTTAAGACAACTAAAATAGTAAGAACTTGATGTCATAAATATTTATAAGCAACCCTTAATTATAAAATTTAAAAGAAAAACTCTTAACTGGCTTAGTATGACTAAAGGTTTATAATTTTCATATATTTTCCAAAGAGTATTTAAAAAGGACACCAAGTTAATAAAATCACTTAAAAATTTTGCAATAATTTTATTTTATATAAATTAATACCAATCATTTAACCCTGAACACAATCTTCACTAATACAATGTGTTTTTTTTTTGTTGTTGTTTTTGAGTAGGAGTCTCACTCTGTTGCCCAGGCTGGAGTGCAGTGGCATTTTCAAGCCACCACCTGCTTCGACCTGTTGGGATCCAGAAATCCTTCCGCCTAAGCCTTCCAAAGTAACTGAAACCACAGCTGCATGCCACTGCACCCCACTAATTTTTTAATTTATTGTAGAGATGAGGTCTTGCCAAATTGTCCAGGTTAGTCTTAAACCTTAGTCAGGTAATCCTCTTGCCTCTGCCTTCCAAACTGCTGGGATTACAGACGTGAGCCACCATGCCCAATTAAAAATTTTTTCTTGGCAGTAAACGACTAGAAATATTCCATTACCATAAAGCTACAAAGTGGTTCATGCTCTTAAGAGTAAAGTTAGCCGGGCTCGGTGGCTCAGCCTGTAATCCCGCGCCTTTGGGAGGCTGAGGTGAGTGGATTGCCTGAGCCCGCGGGTTCGAGACCCGCCTGGGCAGCAAGACCTCATCTCTACAATAAAAATCAAAAACTCAGCCGGGCGGGGTAGGGCATGCCTGTAATTCCGGCTACTCGGAAGGCTGAGGCGGAAGGATCGCTGGAGCAAAAGTTAGAAAATCAAAAATAATAATTATATCAGTGATCAGCACCAAGACAGAACTTTTTTGCATTTAGGGCCTGACTGGTTATCTTTAAATATAACCTGTATATTAGAGAACCAAAATAACACCTTATTTGACTTAAAAAAAACCCAAAACATACAAAGATCTAGAAACAGTGAGGGATACCCATTTTAAAAATAATAAAATCAATCATACTTGTTTTTTAATTAATGTAACATTTGCAGAATATATTTGTTCATCACTTTTCTTTCTCTTTAGTTCGTTTTATACAATTCAGATTGGTCCATTTTTGTCAATCAGTTGTCACACTAAAGTAAATAAATGTGTTGCATTATGCAGGTTTGCTGTAATGAATCCAAACCATTAGAGCTAGATCTAGTAGCTCCAACAATCTCACTAGCAACTAATTCCTTAGCCAGATGAGACGTGTGTGTGTGTGTGTGTGTGTGTGTGTGTGTGTGTGTACAAGTTTGCCAGAGCGTGTAAGAGAGTACAACCCAGAGAGGGGCAAGACAAAATAGTATACACGATGGTCCAACTAAACCTTAAAAGACTTGTGCAGTCAGACACTGAATTATCCTGACAATAAACCTGAGGCTGGGCAATGGGGAAATTAGGGAATTTGTCACCATGATGAAGAGTCAGTGACTAGTTTGGAAAACAAAGACTAAAGCAGGATGTCTTGGCCACAGCATTCCGAGGCCAAGCAACAGTCCCTTTTTTAGGCAGGATCAAGGATTGGGATCCCCTTGGTCTGCAGCTGAGGATCTCTGGTACTTCCCCAGAGGGAATTTGCTGGTGCCTCTGGCAGTGGCCCTCCACCTCACCCAGTGACAATGTCTTAGGAGGTCCTAGAGTGTGAACCTGAGCATCCTTCCTCCTGGTCTTAAGAGTTCTCCCAGTACAGACACTATGCCCCTGGAGACTTGGTCAAAATCATCACTACCCTTCCAATTCCAACTGAGTCTCAGAAAGGGAGTTTTCTTCTGTCCTGTGGGGTCCCTGAGTTTGAGGTAATGCCACCATACTGTAGGCTGTAAAGCAATGACATATGAAGTCAGGCAGTCCGCTTTAAAACTCAAGCAATCTATATGCATTATTGGCCTTCTGTTATCCAGAAACACTTTCTACTGAAATAGTTTCTTCACACAATTTACCAAAAACAATTGCTGGAATATGATAGAAAGCTTTTTGTTTGTTTGTTTTAAGTTCAGTGTTGAAACTCCTTGAAAGAAAGGAAAGGAAACATATTACATTCCAACTTTCTATTTCCTATCTATAGTTTCCAGGTAAAAGAACACTAAGATTCCCCGTGAAGCTACTTAAAGGTTCCCTTTGCCCTCCACCAGCACAACAGTCCTAGGGAATTCTTGAGTTGTATACTTCCCAAATTTGTAATCATGTCTCTGGGCATGTCTATACAGTGCTCCAATTGAATTTCAAAATCCACAGCATTCTTTTAAACAAAATGATACAGTTGCATTCTTTAAATGCCAGCCATGAAATCATCATTTAAGAAAATGAAAAGAAACTAGATGGAGTACACATATGTACTCCAAGTCAGATAAAATTCTCTCCTTTTTTAAAGGTGTTTTATTTATCTGTTGAAGAAAAGCCTATGACCACTTCTAAAAGCCCGTAGGAGGAGCCTCACATGGCAGGCAACAGTTGGTATTTTGTTCCAATGTTGTCAGGTTCTTAAACTCCCAGTAGGGTTATGCCTTCCTTCATGAAAAATTCCCAAAATGGGCACATCAGATGCAGAGAGAAACTTCATTTATAATCCAATGAATTTTAGTCATACCAAAATAATAATCCAACCTGTCCAAACATGCAGCTTCTCCTTTTCTTCCCTGTAAAACTAAGTTCCCTTCTTTACAAAATGGTTAGATTTCAGGATCAAGTTAAAATCTACCAGATTTCAAGTTAAACTCTAAGGATTCTATGCAATTATACCATGACATTAAGTTCATATTGGCATTCATTTTTCTGCACTTTCCTATATGTATCTTAAATAAGCTTACTGGACCATAACATTTAGGGAGAAATTAAGAGTTTTATATTATACTATGAAATTCTAATAAATTCTCATTTGATCAGGGCTTATCTCTTAGTTCAGCGTCATACAGGCTGTACATGACACAAGTGTATGGATAAAAAGAATTTCAAATACAAAACCCTTAGCTCTGTGTCATAAACAAATTTGGGTAAAAACGCAAGCCTTCCACTGAGTCATCTCTGCAAAGATGGCCCATCTTCTCTGCAAGGAGTAACCTAAGGGAAAAAAAAATAGTACAGTTATCTATCCATTCAGAAACACAAACATACATTTTGTCACAATGAAGGACAAGGACTTTACTTACCTTTCTTTGGCTAGGAGGACAGACATTCCCACAAGCTTAGCAAACTCTTCTGATGTTAGAGATCCCTTTTCTGAAACCTAACAGAAACACACAGCAGAAAAAGTGTGATTAGTTTAGGATGCCCAGGTACTAACCTAGGGCAAAATACATACCAGTACATGTAGGAAATAATTTACTGAATTTCCTACCAAAATCCAAAGAATATTCACTGTAGAAATAAATCTTAATTAATAATTAATCCTACAAAAGTTGAAGGACCCAGGACAGATAAAGGCTAAAATATCAAGATGAAGCTCTCGATAATATAACATAGGCATTGTACTAAAGCCTTAAAAGAACAATTTGATGTTCTGAAAAGAAACATATAACACATTCTAACTGAGTACATATTACATGCTCCAGTGAAGGAATCTTGTATGCAGGTTTAGTTTAAAATATATGGTAGAAATATCTATAGTCCTAGGGTTTTTTTCTAGTTGAAAATGAGAAGTTCCTTGATGAACATAGATGCTCAAATTTTCAACAAGATTCTAGTAAACCGGATCCAACAACACATCTCAAAAATCATCCACCACAACCAAGTAGGCTTCATCCCCAGGATATAGGGCTGGTTCAACATCCACAAAACCATAAACATAATTAAACACATCAACAGATGTAAAGACAAAAACCACAGGACTATATCATTACACACAGAAAAAGCTTTTGATAAAATCCAGCACCCCTTCTTGATAAAAACCCTTGAACATGTAGGCATAGATGGAACATACCTCAAAATAGTAAGAGCCATCTAGAAGAAACCCACAGCCAATATACTGCTAAACAGACAGAAATTGCAGCCATTCCCCCTGAAAACCAGAACAAGACAAGGATGTCCACTCTCACCCCTTCTTTTCAACATAATATTGGAAGTCCTAATTAGAGCAACCAGACAAGAGAAAGAAATCAGGGATATCCAAATGGGAAAAGAGGAAGTTAAGTTATCCCTCCTTGCAGACGACATGAGTCTATATGGCAAAAGCCCAAGAGAATCTGTCAAAAACCTCCTTGCACTGATAAAGGACTTTGGCTAAGTCTCCAGGAATAAAATAAACATGCAAAAGTCAGCCGCATTCCTATACACCCACCATAAACAAGCAAAAACCTAAATAAAAAGCACAATTCCATTCACAATAGCCACAAAAAAAATGAAATTCCTTGGCATCTTCCTAACCAGAGAAGTCAAAGACTTTTATAACAAAAACTACAAAACACTGCTCAAAGAAATAAAGATGACAAAAACAAAAGGAAAAATATTCCATGCTCATGGATTGAAAGAATCAATATCGTTAAGATGTCCATCCTACCCAAGGCAATCTACAGACTTAACATAATACCCATTAAATTACCAGTAATATTCTTCTCAGAACTGGAATAATACAGGAATTCATATGGATACATAAACAACCATGAATAGCCAAAACAATTCTCAGCAAAAAAACAAAGTGGGAGGCATCATGCTACCAGATTTTAAACTTCATTAGAAAGCTACAATAATCAAAACAGCCTGGTATTGGTACAATAACAGGCATATAGACCAATGGAACAGAACAGAGATTCCAGAAACAAAATCTCCATTTCTTAACCAACTCATCTTCGACAAAGCCTCCACCTTCAACCACCAGGGAAAGGAGGACCTATTCAGTAAATAGTGCTGAGAAAACTGGCTGACCACATGCAGAAGATTAAAACAAGACCCTTGCCTATCACCACACACAAAAATCAACTCTAAATGGATCAAAGACCTAAATGTAAAACCTCAAACTATAAGAACCTTAGAAAATGCAGGAGACACCCTTATGGAAATTAGAACTGGCAAGCAATTCCTGATCAAAACTCCAAGTGCCCATGCCATAAGAGATAAGATAGATGAGTGGGACCTCATCAAACTGACAAGCTTCTGCAAAGTCAAAGAAACCACTGAAAGAGCAGGGAGACAGCCCAACTGTATATTGGACAAAGACCTAACATCTAGAATCTACAAGGAACTCAGATGTGTCAAAAGGAAAAAAACAAACCGTTCCATTACAAAGTGGGCAAGAGATATGAATAGACAGTTCTCAAAAGAAGACATACGAGCAGCCAACAGATACATGAAAAAATGCTCAGCCTCACTAGTTATAAACATGGAACCAACCATGCTGCCCATCAAAAGAGAACTGGATAAAAAAATATGATACACATATGATAGAATATTTATTACACATCCATAAAGAAGAACAAAATTATGAACTTCACAGCAACTTGGATGGACTTAGAGGCTATATTACTGAGTGATCTATCACAGAAACAAAGAACCGTGTATCACATGTTCTCACTCATAAGTGGATCTTGAACAACTATCGTAATACTATAAGAGAGGGATTGGCAGTATTGGGAAACTGCCAGGGGAGGGCGGGGGCGGGATTGGCAGTAGTGGGAAACTACCAGGGAATGGGGACGGCACACCTCATCAGCAAGGGTACCTGCATAATGAACATTTGTATACCTAACCCTGAACTATACCCCACATATTTAAAATTTTAAAAAGTATAATAAATGTGAGTTATTCAAATTATACAAGCTTATCATGGATGTTTGAAGACAGTGCTATTTCAAGGATCCTAATGAGTAATAGCAGTTTGGCCAGTAAAATCTATCTACACTACAGTTGCTTTTAATATTTTTGAAGGAATTGCCTCACAAAATAAAACAGCTTGTGGAGTTTTATAATGCTGCTTATGTAGGTATTACTGAAAGAAAAATTTCAATAGTGTGTAACATTCTGCTAAACAAAGTTAAAAATATATTCTCAACACTGAACTTCAATAGAAAAGAAAGTACCTCATTACTTTTAATTTTTCTTATTTATCAGCTGTTAAAAGTGTCAACACTTTTCAAAAAGCTTTTTTTTTTTGAGTTGGAGTCTCATTCTGTTGCCCAGGCTGGAATGTAATGGCATGATAATGGTTCACCGCAACTTCGGCCTCCTGGGCTCAGGTGATCCTTCCACCTCAACCTCTCAAGTAGTTGGAACTACAGGCGTGTGCCACCATGACCAGCTAAGTTTTTGATGTATTGTAGAGATGAGCTCCCCCCAAGTTGCCCAGGTTGGTCTCGAATTCCTAGGCTCCACCAATCCTCTCACCTCAGCCTCCCAAAGTGCTGGGATTACAGGCATGAGCCCACTGCGTCCGGTCTCAAAAAAGCTCTTAATGTATATAGACTTTGATTAATATTGATTCATTGTTTACGACCAACAGTTCGTAACTGGATATATGATTGTTACTGTTCAGTAAAGGTAAATCTAGAAGGAAATCCTGTTTTTCGAGTTGCTTAGTGTTCAGGTCTTCGTGGCAAGCTCTAATGACTGGAGGAAACTGGTTTCACTTACTGTCTCCAGGGCTGAGGCCACCATTTCCTCTTCCTTGTGGGACTGAAGCTCAATTACCATGACGCCACTGTCAAAAACTCGGAGCCTGAAACCACAGATGTGAGAACAAAGCCAGGAATCATCTAGGATATTCAACAACTAAGGAGGAGTGTATCTTTTTTACATTCTCTCATGTCCAAGTCTGAGGGCAATATTAATACAAAGCAACATTTAGAACATATCAAACACAAGCAAATATAGTTTGATGTATTGTAAAGATGAGCTCTCCCCAAGTTGCCCGGGTTGGTCTCAAACTCCCAGGCTCCAGCAATACTCTCGCCTCTCCCAAAGTGCTGGGATTATAGATAATTAAGCTCATGAAGAAACAGATTATAAAGTTATGAACTCAAATATACATGCTAAATAAAAGTCTGGCTACTTTTTTTAACCCGAGGATAAGGAAAAATAGAATTCTGAACATCTTGAGAGACTAACACAAAACATCAAAGGAAAGAGGGCTAGTTATTCTGGCCTCATGGGAGGAGCCCATGTTCTCATCTCATTCCCTTAAATCGGCAAGAGTCTGACTGTGAGACCCTTTGGGACATACCCTGCCCTGATAAGGATGAAAGCTAGGATGACAGAAGATGTTCGCGTGACAGGTAAATTTTAGTCACAGATAATAGAATTTCAAGAGAGCACTATTTTGGAAGAGTAGGCTTGGCTGAGCTTTCCCATCTACCCTGTGCAGAATCTTGGTTACTGGTGGCAAGCTTCCTGCATAGATTCCTTTACCTGAGAGGTAATTTCAGAGCTTCCAGCATCTTGCATGCATTCACTAAATCTTCTGGTGAAAGCAACTAATGGGGAAAAAAATCCAGTTTATACTTCAAATCAATAAAGTAATGCTATATAATTGTAACTATCATTACTACAGAAAAGGAAATTTAAAAATTACCATTTTTCAAGAATTTTAGGTGACTTGACCACTACAAGGCAAAAAAATTAACAAAGGAGCCAAAGACATCTATACATTAAAACAGTACTATCCAATAAAAATATAAGGCAAGCCACATATATAATTGAAAATTTTATAGTAGGTATACTAAAAAAAGTAAAAAGAAACAGGTGAAATTAATTTTAACACATTTTATTTATCCTAGTAGACTGAACATAGTATCAATTCAACATGTCAATATAAAATGTTATTAATGAGATATATAATATCTCAACATATTTCCTTATGTTGTACTAAGTCTTCTAAATCTGGTGTATCTTTTATACTTAGAGCACATCTCGATTTGGATTAACTGCATTTCATGTTCATAACCAGTATATGTGATGTAGCTAGTGGTAATCCTTTAGGACAGTGCAGCCCTAACAAATCAGCAGAGTGTGTGGTGGTGACAAGCACCCTTTGAGCCCCACAAGATGACTCCAGAGCCAGCATAGCCTGAGTCCAAATCTCTGACAAACCACTGTCTCTGGGTGTGGCCTTGGCCAAGTTATTTCATCTTTCTAATCTCCAAATTATCAATTTCTGAATCTCCAAATTATCCCCTACACGGGGATAGTAAAAGTAGCTACATTACTGAGTTACTGGGAGGATAAATGAGGTAACATGGGCAGAGTGTCCAGTGGATAGTAAGTACTCACTAATGGCAGTTATGATAAAATAAAAGCACAGAACAGAGGCTTAACTTGTGGGACTGGAGTGAGTCTTTTGCATGGAGGTGATAGCTGCAGAAAGAGCACCTGGACAGAACCTTGGAGGCCAAAGATTTCTGGATGTTAAGTGACAGCAGAAGCTGAATGACAGCCACTGCTGACATACAGGCAAAGGGGCAGGTGGCTTTTCCTCTGCATTATCTACAAGACAATCTATATCCAACCAACTATTGCAGAGGAAGGGCTTCCTGAACATCACAATACAAACAGAGAATATTAGAGCTAAAAGGTATCACTCAGTCCAAACCCTTATTTTAAAAGTAAGAAAACTGAGCCCCTAAATGTTGGCGAAGATGTGGAGAAAGAGGAACTCTTATATACTGTTAGTGGGAATGTAAATTGTGGAAAACAGTATGAAGGTGCCTCAAAAAATTAAAAATAGAACTACCATATGATCTAGCAATCCCATTACTGGTTATACAGACAAAGGAAATGAAATCATTACATTGAAGAGGTGCCTGCATTCCTGTGTAGCAGTATTCACAATTGCTAAGATATGGATTCAACCCAAATATCGATCAACAGATGAATGGACCAAGAAAATATGGTGTATGTACACAATGCAATACTATTCAGCTATAAAAAAGAATGAAATCCTGTCAATTGCAGTAACATGGATGAATCTGGAGGACACTGTGTTAAGTGAAATAAGCCAGGCACAAGATGACAAACACTGAATGATCTCACTCATGTGGGATCTTAAAAAATTGATCTCAAAGAAGTAGAGAGTAGAATAGTGACTACCAAAGGCTGGGGGCAGGGGGTGGCAAGAGGATGGAGAGAGGCTGGTTGATGGGTATAACGTTAGAGTCACACAGAAATAGTAAGTTCTGGTGTGCCATTACACAATAGAAAGGTTTCTGACTGTTATCTATGAAGAAATGACAAATGTTTAAAGTGATGGATATGCTAATTATCCTGGTTTGATCATTATGCAATGCATACATGCATTAAAACATTCCACAGTACCTCATAAATATGTACAATTATTATGTATATATTATATAAATAAATGTTTAAAAAACAAAACATAACTGAGTCCCAGAGAGGTTAAGAAGCTACTCAAGGTCACTCAGCAAATCCCTGGCAAAACCAGGAACAGAATCTACCTTTTAGACACACTGCTGCTTAAAATAGCTTTGACATTAACAATTCTTCCTCAAATTGTATTCTCTGCAGGGGAATTTGTATTATGTCAATTCTATATTAAGCTAAAATAATATTTAAATATTCTATTCTTACTTCCATTCCTCGAGCTCGGTTTACTAAACAGTACACCTCTGTGAGTGACATTATTCCCCCTCGTTCCTGTGAAAATATGAAGTGTTCAAAAAGTATGTTAAAATTAGTGTCAGTTAGCATTTCTTAAGAATCATAATCAGAGTGAAATCAGAAAATTTGTTAAGAAGCCTTAAAAAACTATACATAAAAGAATCTATTCAGATACCATGAGGCAGCTCAAATTCAATATTAGGACTTTAATGTTATTATTACTATTTTAACATTTACTTAAATGAAAATAGAGGTTCTATACCATGTTTCAGAAAGTTCATTTAAATGTTTTAAATATTCCAGCAGATAAATGAAGAAGTATAGGATTAAATAAGAAATTTTACCATCTTGCAACCCCTAATGAAGTAACAGATCTAGGTAATGATCGTCAGTGGCTGCTAACTTATAGATACAAAAAGACAACCAGACATTATGTATTTCCTGATGGAAGTGCACATCACCCTCTGCGAAATATTCTTGCCAGCAAAACAAACAAACAAACAAACAAACAATGAACCTGTACCTACAACTACCAATTCATAGGAAATACATAGAGGCACACACTATAGGATAAACTGGTTTCTTCAATAAATACATTGTGGGGTGAGAGGTAAGAGAGATGGGGGAAGGAAGAAACCCATGGAATTTTTTTTAAAACTCCATTTGTAGAGACAAATTTGCCAACTGCAGTGTATCCTGCCTGACTTAAATAAACTGTAAGATAAAATGTAAATGCTAATTAGATATTTGATGGTATTAAGGAATTGTTTTTAATTTTTAGGTGTGAAATAGATTATAGCTGTGTTTAAAGGAGTCTTTAACATTATAGTTACAAACTAAAATATTTACAGATAAAGTGATGTGATGTCTGGGATTTACTTTATAATAATTTTGAGTGGAGGTTGGCTTACAGAGGAAGCTGGATGATGGGCACATGGGGATTCATACACTCTTCAATTTTGGCATAAGTTTGAAATATTTCCTAATACAAGTGCTTTAATAAGCCCTTGGCTGCCTGAATACTCCTAGACTAGAAGGTGAATCTGTATTATGAAGTTATTAATAGTACTATATAGTAAAGACTAGACATATAGAAATCTATCTATACAAAGAGCATCTTTTCTTCTGAAAATAAGGAAAGCTTCTTATCAAGCAGATTTAGAAAATTATAGATGTAGAAGATTGAAAACAATTTAGAAGATAACAAAGAATCATTAATAAGTATACTGAACTAATTTTATATTCCTGAAAAAAAATAATGTCAGTTGATAATAACTGCATCATCAAAGGAGTTATGCTACTGCTAACATTGCTGATGACACGGGAGTAATTTAACATAATTTTAAAAGAACATTTAGGTTTGGTTTTTACCTCCAAAGGCGCTTGCAATATTCCAGCCAGCTGTTTGGCTAGCTGCATGTGGTACTGTGTGCCTGAGCCGTAGGTTTCCCTGGTAACGGGGTTAGCTATTCCCATGCTCAGCAAGTAGGATTTAAACCTGATGGTCTATAATAAGAGAGGAGAAAATGCTTAAAAAGATTACACAGAATTACTCTCTCCTCCCCAATACATGAAATCCTTCCATCATAAATTCAATTTTACTCGTTATTTCTATATATACCTATTTCTTTGGCTGTGTTTCTATCCTGTGAACTGCAAAGAAGTGGATTTCTAGTAGTTTCTTGCATAAATCTAATTATTCCTCTTTCTTCTTCTGTCTCGGTTTCTCATCCTCCATTTATTTCACAAGTTTGGTATGAGAGGAGATTTAGATAACACCTGTACTATATTTAATGCCAACCAAAAACTTACAAAGGAAAATGGCTCTAACTATATTGTAGACAACTTTAATGAAGCAGACATCAAACTTAAGTATATGTATAAATAGACACTCCTTACACATTTCAATATCTATCCAAGAAATACATTCCAAGTAAAGACAGTGAAATAACCTTTATTCCTATAGAAATAACAGAAGTTTTATGGCTGACTCTTTTTTTTAGAACTTTCATATATCCTCAAGTCCTAAAATAAATAAAACGCATTGCAATATTTCTTAATACAAGTGGCACACTAAGAAAGCAAACTGTTAAAGCACAAAAACTTCATTGCATTATTCATATAATCTAGTCTCTAATGCCTTAAAATAATGCAACCGCTTTACCTCATCTTCTGTGATGTCACCTTGCTTGTCTTTAATTTTATTAGCAATTGATTTTGATAATTCCACCATTTCCTTAGCCTGCCAAATGAAAAGTAAAGATTGAAAAGAAATACTGTCCCCAAAATGTTAGCTAATAAAATATAATTTCAAAACTGTATCATAATTGGTATAAATTTAATAGGCATAAATGATAGTTACCTTGATCATTAGCTTGCTGAGGTCTTCAAAGGCCTAAAATGAGAAATGAGTTTTTGTTGGAATTTGTCTCAAGAATTAAAATGCTTTTTGTTTGTTTGTTTGTTTGTTTAAGAGACAGGGTCTTGCTTTGTTATCCAGGTTGGAATACTGTGGTATGGCAATACTTCATTGCAGTCTCAAACTCCTGGACTCAAAGGATCCTCCTGCTTCAGCCTCCCAAGTAGCCTCAGCCCCAAGTAGCTGGCTCCTACCACCATGCCCAAATTTTTTTTTAAATTTTCATTTTGGAGATAGGATGTCACTATGTTACTCTGGCTAGTCTCAAACTCCTGGCCTCAAGCAGTCCTCTTGCCTCAGCCTCCCCAGTAGCTGAGATTACAAGTGTAAGCCACCATGCCCAGCTAAAATGTTTAAAAACAATGAAGCAACCTCTATTTTTTCTCTATGATAAAAATATATAACATTGTCTTACAAATATCAATTTACTAATAAAATATTTTATAAATAATAAATCTACCTCATTCTAAAATTTCAGTTTAGCTAAGGAACCATAAATTTTCCGAAACAGACAGCAAAAAAACTTCTAAGCTTTTCAAAGAGAAAATACACAAACAAAAGGTAATATAAGTAATAGTTCAGAAAATGTTATTTAGTGTTATTTGACAAAAGAAAACCTGACACAGGTTTTTCCTAAAATCATTTCCTGATAGGAAGTCAAGAATCAAAGACACTGTAAAGCTTTCCTGGATGAAAATGGCAATACATAGATGCAAAAGTACTTCTTTAGGCACAATAATACTGGCTTTAACAGCAGGTGTGATTTAACTGAAACAATAAACCTCAGCCTCTGAATCTTAAACAAATCATTATACTTGCAGCTTCATATATGGTGGATATCACAAAAGAAAAACTTTCAAATTCCTCCAAAACATATCTAGATAAAATCTATCAATTGTTTAATAAAGCAAATATTCACTTCAAAGGTCTCTTGAAACTTAATCAGACATAATTGTAATAAATTATTTCAAAATTACCAAAAGTATACTGCCAGTGAAGAATGTCTTGTCTAATTGATGTGTACAGATGTTATTTTTAAAAACCAATTAAGCGACTCGTCATTAACTGAAACATCAGTCCACAAAGAGGTCTCACATATATAATATGGCTCTGATCAGCTTATGCCCATCTGCAGGAAAGTATCCCCCATCTGCAAAAGGATTTTGCTAAAAGAATAGTGTACTGTGTATTCTTATAGGCAACTCACTAAAGTTAATGCTGAAAACAAAGGGGAATGTGCACACACCTAACAGGAATTTCCTCAGATAAACAAAAGGCTTAAACATTGAGTTCTTATCAGTAAGAGCCAGCAGATGCAGGAAGCCCTTTGTGAGAAACTTTGGGCACCAGCTCAGAAACCAAGTCAAGTCTAAGTGAAGGGCAAATCACACTCCAACCTAGTTTTCAAAAAATACTCATTTTACCTACATAGATTTCTACTTTGAATATATAAAATATTAATAGATTTCTTTTTCCTGTTTAAAAAAACTAATAAGATAACATTTTAAAATTTTTATATGTAAATCACTTTATTTATTGTGTTATCTTTTAATAGGAAAAATTTACTAAAATAATAGAGTTAGTCCACACAGAATATATAAATTAGACCTTATTGCTTATAAATATAGTCAATAAAAAATAAATATAGTAAATATCTTAGTGCCTTAGAACTGTCCTTAAAATATTTCAAGCAATTGTAAAACACAAAAAAAAGTTTCCTCACTTTTATTTCTATTGTTCTAAAATATGAAATTAGCCAACTATCCAATAAATAGGTGGAGAAACTATCTACAATACAGATTAATGCAAAATAGCTACACATACTATTATATATATATATATATATATTATTTTTTTTTTTTTTTTTTTTTTTTGAGTTGGAGTCTCACTCTGTCGCCTAGACTGGAGTGCAGTGGCCACTCCCGGCCACTGCAGCCTCAACCTGCTGGGCTCCGGCCATCCTTCCGCCTCAGCCTTCCAAGTAGCTGGAACTACAGGCGCGCACTACCACGCCTGGCTAATTTTTTGATTTATTGTAGAGATGAGGTCTCGCCAAGTTGCCCAGGCGGGTCTCGAACCCGCAGGCTCAGGCAATCCACTCACCTCAGCCTCCCAAAGCGCGGGATTACAGGCTGAGCCACCGAGCCCAGCTTATTATATTATTTTATCTGCCAGTTTACAGAAGTTCTATCCCTCTACTACACCCACAGTCAAATTTCCCCTCCAATTTTATGAAAAATGTCATATTTTAAAACCCTCTTAAGCCAACTTAAAGCATCACATCTTACTGACTTTCAGTCATTTACTTTGGTTATTAGTTTCTATAACTATTAATATATTCTTGAATTTTCCATTTCAATACCCTTGAGTCTGTGCCTCTGTGTATTCTGTTCTCTCTACCTGAATTCCCTGCTGGTCATCTGCTAGTGCCTGCTCCTCTTTCAGGCCTTGTTTTCCTTGTTCCTGTTGCTAACAATCCTTCCCAGAACCCAACAGATGTCGGGGGCCACGTAGCCCATACATATAAGGCATTTATCCCTCTTTGCTGCCTGTGTCTGGAACATCATCACAGCATCCACAACCTCTGATGCAGGGCCTGTTCACAGAGGAGAGAGGAGGACTATCTGCTGAAGACAGAGGTGATCTGCAGGATAGTAGAGCACAAGGTTTGTGGAGACTCAGCAATGCAACTCCATGAAAATTAGGCTGAAACACAATAACTTACATCATAAAATAAAAAAAATACTATTTTGAAAATAACTTCAAGATAGTGTGGCAGCATTCAGAAAAAGAAATACAGATAATGAAAAATCAGTTCACTGCTCCATGCCATCTCCAAAAAATGTCGACACAAAGAGGATGATGATAAGAGTTGTTGCTGAAATGAAGTGTGACAGCACCTTCTAGCTGGTAAAGAGGGTGGCGATGGCCTGGCATACTGTTAGCACCTGCAAATTGCCTACAAATCAAAAGACCTGGGTTCTTATCTGCCAGGTTCCAAATCTTGTCACTCACTGAAACAATTTCTTCTCTGAATAATAAGAGCCCATTTAATACCAAAAGGTTGGAATGTCATGGAAATAAAGGATTCTGAGAAGATGGTGGCTATGGCAGCACACAGTGTTTGAATCTCTCCAAATCACAACATCAAAACTAGATCTCAAAACCAAAAACCCTATAGACAGCATATACTAAGTTTTGAGATACTGGCAAAAACCCTAAAATACAATGTGGGGATAAACCACCAAGAACCACCAAGACCTGCATACTGTCAGCATCTAGGCAGGAGAAAGCAAAGAAAAGCAACAGTGTGACCAAGAGGGAACCCAAAAAAGTCAGCAGGGATTCACAGAAAGTGAGGCAGTCAATTTGAGGACACTGCCTAAAATGGTGAAGGTTTCATCCACTTCAATAGTGGGAGGGTCCACTATTAACCTTTTATTTCAAAATAAGCTAAAAGATGTTAAGAAGATGATATAAGCTTCGAAGGGACAATATAAATCAGAAATAGGTGACAGAATTCAGGAAAGGATAAAAATAAGAGATAAAAGTAATTTCAGAAATAAAGGCTATACTAGAACATGAGTGAATAAATACAACAGATAATACCTTCAGAGAAAGGTAAAAGAGAGAAAAAAATTCTAAATAAAAAAGAAATAAAGTGATAAAAAGCATTAGAAAAAGTCACAAACAGTAAAGAAAGGCAGTGTAACATACAGTCAACGCAGGTCCCAGAAAAAAAAAGAAATCAAAGCAATTATTGAAAATTATAATTCAGAAAAACTTGCCTGAAATTAAAACATTTCTGAAACTATATACTGAAAAGCACAGCATGTACCTGAGAATAACAACCCAGAAAGACTAATATTCAGACACATTCTAGTGAAATTACTGGGTTTTAAAGAAACAGAAAAAAAAAAAAATCCTTTGTTCATCTAGGAAAAACAGCAAGGGACTTCTAAAGGGAAAAAATTAGATCATCATTCTTTGACAGCAACACTTCATGCCAGACAAAAAAGATGAAAGTAGCATACTGAAGGCACTCAGAGAAAGAAAATGTGAGCCGAGGATTCTAAGTCCAACAAAACTGACTTGCATGTATAAGGAACACAAACATACCAGATACAGGGACTATCATTCTCATGATCGCTTTCTAAACAATCTACTAGAGAATGAGCTTCAGACAACCAAAGTGACCACAGGGAGACCAGCATAAGGACTGGTGACACTAAACATAGCATTACTTGTAAAATGAAAACCAAGTGAGAAGGGTGCATGAACACAGTACGCCTGTTTTTTTAAGTGTAGGAAGAATGGGGAGAACACATACAAAAAATTTTTTTCAGTTACTTTAGTAATTATTTGGTAGTATCGTTCTAAATGTACATAGGAAGTATAAGTATGATCTTATGATGGACTTTTATATTAACAATAACAAAATACTAGCTCTGACCACTGAAAAGATGATAAGGAACCAATTTACTATCCTAATGATAAAGCAATAATGCAATTATCCTGCCTTTCCCATATGAAACAGATCACTGAGTAAACAAATAGTAAAGGGACCCATTTCTTTAAAACGTATTCCAACTAATAAATGAAAATAAACATAGAGTATCACCATTTGCAACCACCGGTGGACTAGCAGATCTAGGCAATGAATATCAACAGCTGCTAATGTGACAGAGACATGCCATGCCTCCTGATGAAAACACAGCATCACCTCTAGTTTTACGACAGAGCCTCTGGATGGAGCTGCCAATTTGGAGGAAACACAGGGCTGAAGGGCATATACAGCTTCACCATAGATATGCGATCACCATGAGCACTTAATAGCTCAAATGCCTTTGGTTCCTCAATAGTAATCTGTATTTTTAATTAGTGAGCCCAGAATAAGTATTCAGTAACTATTTGTAGCTTTTGAACTTTGCTTGATTGACACACATCTTTGAAAAATCTCTGAACAGCACCCATCAATTGAATTTTACTTACAAATTATTATAAAAAATAAAGAATTACTTCATAGCATCACTTCATAAAAACCCAAGACCATTCTACATAAACATGGAAAAATCAATGATATGTTTAGTTGTATTAACTAATTACAGAATCTAATACATAACTGCTCTTCTTTACTAGAGTTGTTTCCCCTTCACTTGAATTTCCTCATTATGATAAAGCTTCAAAACATTGTAATGTACATGCCCAGGGCTGTCTCCTGGCAGAAGTGATGAGCTGGTTTGAGCCATTCTTACTGTCTGTGTCTGATCCCCAGGTGGTCATCAGTATAAAATTGTGTGGGACAGTGGCTACAGAACAGCATTCTTCTCTCAGCTGAGTGCCTAAACTTCCAAAACAATTATACAGAGGACCTTGAACTCATTAGGAGTATCTTACAGTCAATTCCATCTAGACTTTAAAATTCATACAATATTTTATATTGCTTTTCTAACAGCAAACAAATTTGCATTTCTTTTTATTCCTTTTTGAAAAAGATTCTAAAACATTTTTAGCTAGTCTTCTTTTGTTGGGCAGCATGGTTGGTTCCGTGTTCTTGCTATTGTGAACAATGCTGTGATAAACATACATGTGCAGCCATCTTTTTTATAGAGTGACCTGAGTTCTTCTGGTATATTGCCAGTAGGGGGATTGCGGGATCATATGGAAGGAAATTTTTAGATCTTTTAGGAATTGCTACACTGATTTCCACAGAGGTTGTACTAGTTTACACTCCCACCAACAGTGTAGAAGTGTTCCCTTTTCACCACATCCTCTCCAGTATCTGTTATTTTTTGAGTTATTGATGATGGCCATTCTGACTGCAATTTCAAAATTAAAATTAAAAGAGAAAAAACAAACAAACATGTTTTGCTTAGATTATGCCAACCCAAGGTAGGCCTGTTAAAGGGAATAGGAGACTTGTATAGCATCAGGCAAACTACAAACATTCCAGATTACAGAATGAAATTCATCACAGCTGTACCCAAAAGGAAAGACACAAATGACTGGAAAAGATGGAGAACCAGAACTAAGAGTTACCTCAGAAATGTTTTTGTCAGTTTCTTTTCTTTTTTCTTCCAGTTTCCTTTCAATACCTACAATTCCTACAGCCCTTATTCTTCCTGGCTGAAAAAAAAAAGTAGAAAAAAAGCATACAAAATAGGAAGGAAACAAAATCTTTTGTAAACTACCACATTGCGTTTTCAATGGCGGGAAAAGACCCAAAAAGAACCAAAGAAAATCAGCATCTAGATTCCTTTTAAAACATTTGTTTGCTTCTTGTTATATGTAATCATCTTTAAATCATTCAAGAAAAGTCAAATATACAATAAATAGCATATTTTATTCTGTGTTTTAGGTGTAAATTAAATTTTCTATTCATGTTCTTTGGCAAGCTATTATGCATCAGATATATAATAGGGTCTTATATGTACAAAATGTATGTAATATAGTCAAAATTTTGGCACTTAGTTTTATTCAAGTTACTTTCACACTTGAGTGCCGTTCTATAGTTGATGATTAATTTAGAATGGTCTGGAAACCATCACCCATAAGTACTGTCTATTCTTGCAAATGCCACACTGACTGTGAAGAACAGAATGCAGTCACTGAAATCTATCTCCTACCACTCTGAGAACTGCTCTGATGAGTAGTCATTTATGTTTACTAAGTGCCTGCTATCTATAAAGCACTAAATTAGAGCTTTGAAAATAACATTTTTATCACAATACCACTACAGTGTTTTGTTTTTGACAAGTTCTATAATCACCGTCTTTTTTCTTAATGAAGAAAAAAGTTGAAAATACTGGATCAGCAAACAGTTTACAAAATACCTGGGGTCCTCTATTTGTTTGTAATGACTGGGAAACTGGCATATTCTCCCATCTTCTCTGTGTCATTTCCTCTGATAAACGCCTGTAAAACTGTTATGCAAATATATACACTTTAAGTGTCAGTCAGGTTGTGGCATCCTCATAAAACCCATTACTTAACATTTCTTTAGTATAAAGGTCTGTTCAGTCATTTGTAGCAAGCCTAGAATTCTCAAAGACATCAAAGGAAACAAAGGAAGTTCTTTTTTTGGATCAACTTCAGAAAGCACAAAGGAAAAGAAAAAAAGAAGGAACTGACATTCTATATAAAGTAGGATATTCTCAAGGAAGACATGAGTGACAATGAAATAAATAAACTTACTTTAAACAATCCTTCTTATGTGGATTGTTTTCAGTCTATAGTGAAACAAACACAGTGCCAGGAAAAATATACAACCATTTTCCACGAAGGAAGCAGAAAATAATTTGTCTAGTTAAAATTTAAAACTGAAAGTAGGGCCAAAACATACCCATGCTCACATAAAAAAAAAAAAAAAAGAAAATATATTTTTCAACTTCACTGAGAATGATTTCAGTCACTTGTATTTGCTTAGTGACCACTGTGTGGAGCACTGGGAGAGGTGCTATATAAAAGAAAACATAAATAACTTATGATATTGATGAAGAGAATAAATATGCTTCTAAATATCTTAAGATTTACAGCAACTTATTAATCAGAACATAGAAACTACTATACTGCAGAAAATATGCATAAGTGATTAGATTTGTATGAATTTACTCTAGATAGACAGCCTGACTTAAGGCTAGAAAACATTCAGATACTGGGGTAGTTTAACATTATCGCTGTATTTACATTCTGTCCCTTTAACCAAGCTATACCACTGAAAACTGTACTAGTAGCCCAATGTCATGACTTGGCATATTTCCAGCCTCTGCTCCCTCCTTGTGACCACACCCTCCTGCTTCCCATTCCCACTGAAACCTTAAACTTTATATTTTCTATTCTGTGATAAGGGGCTTAAAATATAATTTAAAAAACTTATTGTTAAAGTGAAACCTGGTATGTTGCATAATATTGCCTTCCATCATATTAACAAACCATAACAAAAATACACACATACATGCACCTTTCTAGTCCAATTTCATTCATATAGAAACTTACCTCAATCTGGCCATGTTCTTTGAAGGAGAGTTTGATATAGGAATTCTTACTACTCTGGAAGGGGCCAGGTTCTTTGTTAGGAGGAGCTGGGTGAAGATGAACCACTATTTTGGCACTGAAGAAAGAGCAAATGTAATATATTTAAATTACCCTTTAAAAAATCACTAATTCTATTTTCATAACTTTCAATATTTTTCAAATCACTTAAAATTCATGTAGAAACAAAGAACACCCTAAAAAGCATCCTTTTAAAGTGTAAATAAATTCAACATTAGTGAAACTTTCAAAAATATCTCTACTTAACACTTATAAGCTGTGAACCAAGAAGCTTCAAGTTACTAACTCTACAGATTAAATAAAAATGTGGTTTTAGAAAACACATATGGGCAGATAAATTTGCAAAATTTTGAGTTTATGATTAGGGTTTTCCATCTACAATTATCTCTAAAGGTTACAAGGGGGTCTATAGTTTCAGTTTCTGCCAAAGCATACAACTTTCCTCATTTGAAAAAAAAATGTGAAGACTTATCTGTAAAACTGGCCAGCTGATATTTCATTAAAACTCCATCCAAAACTAACATTCTACAGTGTTATTTGTTGGAAAATGCCACTCAATCAACAGCATGATCTAGAATGATACCTAATAACAAAAACAATTCTTAAAATGCTGCTGTTCTAGGAACACAAGCTACTATTATCTTTATGACTACTATTATCTTCTATGCTATTAAAAATGTCACTATATTTGTTCAGCTTTATAAATCTATTTTCCTCCTTTTTTCCAACCTGGTCAACAAGCAATCTTCTATAAAGATTAGGGAAACTAAAAAACTCAATCAAAATATCTTGGATAACTAATTTTAGCACTTTTTCTTAGTGGTCACATATAGATACATGCTTATTACTCAATTTTACTTTTCTTTGTTTGGGCCCATAAGTTGCTTAAATATCACTGTACAATTGAAACACCAGGAGTTGGGCCTACTCCATGTAATGAATTCTCTGGTTAGTGAACTGGGGCCAGCCTTGTAAGGACTCTATCTATTCCCTTGTGGTGATGCTCTTTAAGTGAAGTCAGCAAATAAACTGCACAAACAGAATCATAAAACTGTCTGAAATAAACTAGCAAGTGGAGCAACAAAACTATGACAATTATGATAGGTGACTAAGCAAAAACATTTCATAATCTCTGAAACTAAAGGACTGAAACTGGCCCAACTTCCCCACAGAACTTAAGGGTAACAGTTTATTTTTGAATAAACATAATAATTGGCTCTCCTTGTCTTAACACTTGAAACTTTTATTTGCCTTATCTGAGTTCCTTTCTCAGAAAAGCACCCTCCGGCCTAGAGTATCAAGAAACTGAAGCTCACCAGGTCACTTCATCCAGAGAATGAGATTTAGATCCCACCTGTTTGTCAACTCCTCTTCCTTACCCACTCCCTAGCTCCTGTTTTCTACTTCCTGCCCACTATATTAACTCCTGACTTCAGTGGGATGGGGAGATGAACTTGAGAATGAATCTTCAGTTCTTCTTGTTGATATTACACATTAAAAAGCCTTCTTCCCTGGCAATACTTGCTGTCTCAGTGATTGTCTTTCTGTGCAACAAACAACGGGATCCCGACTGAACCCCTAGCATTCAATAACAAAACCTCAATCCTGCTATCAGATTGTGTCAAAGGACACCCCCAATAAAGAGCTAAAAGAGTATGATACAAATAAAGTTTTAAAATTCCTAAGCATAAAAAATCCATGCCAAGTTTTTCATCTATTCTTTTATTGAGTCATTCAATTACTATATTTTATCAAATTTAAAACCCATGAAATGATAGCATCTTGAGTTCAGAGTTGTTAAAAAGTGAAAAATACATTCTCCTTGAAATCAATGCAATATGTTTGAAGGGAGGGACTGGAAACTAAAGAGAATATTTGAGAAAAGTTAATTTGGCATATTACTGAATTACTCCTCACTGGAAATGTTTAAAAAATAAGACACTAGTGTGAAGGTAAATATTTTAAATATTTTTATTACAGAGTTTAGAATTTCTTACATAGCAGAGGAAAATTAAAATGATCTGAAACAACCTTAACATTTACTTTCTAGAACTTAATAAGATGGAAAAAGTGACAAGGGGTGAAATATAAATTATAGTAACAATCTACTCTAAAATCATCTATGGTCTATTAACCTTTTCAAAATGCTAGCTAGTTTATTTTATGCCAAATAAATAATCTTTATGGTAGCTATAACTTTATTTTTAAAGCACACATTGCATGTCCAGTGAAGTTCAACATTGTTTAACTCCTGCTGAAGTGTCTAGTTATGTGAAACCTAAAGATGAGCCCATGTAGGGGGGAAAAAAATCCCATGCCAACAATATATTTTTGTAAGTCTCCTCAATTACATGCACTTAAAATATAAAGCCTAGTGTTTGGTTTATTGGAAAAAACAGCAATATGTGAACTTATGCCATTAAAGCAGGATGGCAATATCTCCTGGTTTGCCTGAGACAGCCCCATTTTATGCTCATTGCCCTGGTCTAACTGTCCATTGTACCTCCTATTATTCTGATAAATGCCCTGTTTTGGACAATTATTATTATAATGTGCTATTTAATCCTGATGTCTGCACAAGACAACCTTGAAGAAACAAACCTAACAATCAGCTAGAATCAGGAACAAAGTCAGTTATTTTTCTTGGATAGGTCATTTCTGAGTTTAAGTATCAAATGACAGGTATACAAACATGTGAAAGCAAAGTACATGTGGAAATACACACAATGATAAGTGGGCCATAATTCTTTGTTATGATCCATGTATAATAACAAGGATATTATAGCAAACTTAAGTACTTTATTCATGCTTTAAGAATGACTTCATACCTCAATAAGTCTAAGGTAGGACCATGCCCTCTAAGGTGGCCTCCTGATCAGCTGCATGACAAGAAATGTTGCTGTAAGTAAAGACTGTACTATGTAAATCTTACCTCTTCCCAATTCCAGCTGCCTGTTCTTCAATGAACACAATTTGAGAAAGAAGAATGGCCATGCAGCACTCCTAGGAGGAAATCAATAGAAAAAAGCTCTAAAACCTTGTCAGAAATCCTTGTTTTATGGCACTAAATAAAGTTTCATATACCTTAGTAACGAAAAATAGTGTTATTTTATTCCTTAAATGAACTTACAGAAAACTTAAATAAAAACAATTCTGTGGTGGCATTTTGCTGCGTGGAAAAACATAAGAGGTTTAAAAGCAGCTGTAACTACCTTTGTTTCTAAAATGGGTCAATTTTCTAAGAGTAATATTTGTATAAAAACTTTTTACATGCAGTATTTTCTTACATTGAAAGCAAAGTCTATAATACATCAAAACAATTTTAAGAAGTGCATTTATATAGGTGACTTTTTTTCTTCTTTATAATTTTCCATACTTCACCCATACACACACACATACAGTTAGTTTTAAACAGAAAATATTGATGTAGTGTCCTTTTAGTAGTTTGGCTAGTTTTAAAAATTATTATACATGACTGGTATATAATAGGCCTAAGGATTTGTTCAAATTGGCCTCTTTATGTGATCATCAAAAATTATACTAAGATTCATTAATTTATCAATATATGGTTTAAGGATATCCACCCCATCCTCCTCAAAAAGATTTGTTTCGAAATATATATTATAACTTTTAAAAGAACTAGACAACATTAACAGTCTAAGGTATGCATTGTCAACAGAGCAATATCAGACCTAGGGGAACAAAAAGTTCCTGGGGAGAAAAAATTTCAGATATTGCAATGGTTAGTAGTCTTTCAAGGGCTACTAGAGTATATAATTTACTTGTGGTATTAAAATTTCATGGGGGCAGCAATTAGGAAAATAAAACACACAGATTAAATAGCTATCTTACTGACCACACTGAAATTAATGTACATATAGTTTCAAGTTGAAACTTTTGGGAATAAAGATATCAGCTCTGTATACACATAACTCACTCTCCTTTTGTAAAAAAAAAAAAAAAATGGTGGGGGTGAAGGGGAAGCTTCTCCTCTTGTTGATAACTTAGAGGCAACCCTTCTCAATATCTAGATAAAAGCAAGCAGACCTATCCTCCTGATTCTCAATAACAATCTGCAACCTGGGAGAAGCAGTGGTTTTAAGGACATATAAGCGCTTTTTAAAGACCTCTCACAACTGATAGGAGAATTATTTCCGTTACATATGAAATATTCAGGTGTAGAGTAGCATTTGACCTGTACTTAAAAAACAAGAGTCATCATGATTCTCCATCCAATAACTACAGACTTTTCTGGAGCTATTTCTGCATTCCGAGAAATATGGGACATACTCTTTTGACATTCTGAAAAGGAAAATGTACTGCATTCATTTATAGTTTTGCCAAAAAAGAAAGAAATGCTTTAGTGATTTACAACTGGGCAACATAATGAGTTTTCATCTCTAAAATAAACAAACAAAATAAAATAAAACCTACAACAGATGCAAAAACTGTATCTTACATGATTTTTCTGATCTCTCCAAATCAGTCGGTGTGTACTAAGAAGGAGAGTCCCAGCATCAAATTTTATCTAGAAAGACAAGATCATCACAAAATGTTAATAACATATTACTCAATGTGGTCCAGATTTTCTTCCTCATGAATTACACAATACTAAGTTAATCAAATAAGTAAGCATTTTACTTTTTTAACTAGGCTGATCACAAATTAAAGAGAAGCAATATTTCATAAGCTATATATATATAGCCTTGATAGAATTAGAAAAAAACTGCAAATAACCTTGATGTACAATAATAGGGGAATAATTAAATAAAGTATGATACATCCATACTAAAGAATCCATGTAGAGTGAAAAAAATGATGAAATAGAACTGCATGGTCTATCACAAAACTCTAAAACATCAAATTAGTAAAAAAAAAAAAACCAATATATAGCCTATTACATATGCTATATGTGTGTGTGCACAAACACAAGTTGCAGAAAAAGGTCTGGAAGGAATATACAGTGATCTGTTAACAATCACTGTCTCAGAAAAAGTGTGAAAGAAAGAGTGGAAGGGAAGCACAGAGTCCTTTTTAAATCCTACACTTCGCTACTGATTGTATTTTTTTTACAGTGAGATTGAATTCATGTATAGCACCTGTATTTTTTTAATAAGAAGGAAAACCAAAATAGACACAAATATATACAAAAATAAATATGGATAGAGACTCGATCAATGGCACTGGGACAACTAGGTTGCCACATATTTTTAAAATCTCAATAAAGATGGATTTATACATAACACACTATACCAAAATGAATTCTAGATGGATCCAATATTTAAATATTCAGAAAAAGAAAATTATAAAAACACTAGAAAAAAGATAATTAAAAAATAATCTCAGAAGGGAGAAGGACTTTCTAAGAAAGGTATTAAATCCATTAGCATTAGAGAAAAAGTTTATAAATTCAACTACACACACACACACACACACACACACACACACACACATACACACACACATTCTTCATGGCATAAACTACCAAGGACAAAGATAAAAGAGATATGGTAGACTGGGAAAAATAACTGCAACTCATTAGAGACAAAGGGCTAATTACCTTAATATTTAAAGCATATTCAATGAGAAAATAGCCTATAATCCACTAGAGAAATAGACCAAGACTATGAATACAAAGTTCACAGAAAAGGAAATACAAACGGCTCAAGCACATTAATAGATGCCCCGTCTCCCTGATATTAAGAAGAAAAAAAAAAAAAAGCAAGAGAATATCAAGGCACCCTTTTTCATACATGATAGGGAGAGGTCCAACAGTTTGATAACACTGTGCTAATGAGGTTGCTGAAGGGACAACTTCTGTACTGGGCAATGTGTTAGTATCTATTAAAAATACAAATACATACATCCTTTGACCCAAGGGTACTTGGCACTTCCAGGAATTTATCCCACAGATAAATTCACACATGTGCAAGATGATATAGTACTAGGTTATTCATTGCTGCTTGTAAGAACAAAACACATGACCAAGTCAAATGTCCATCAACAGGAAACTACATGGACTACTGGGCAGTCGTTAAAAAGATTATGGAGAATCTGTATGTACTTCCTGTATTTAATAAAATGTTAAGATCCCATTGCTTTAAGATACCTACTGATTTCAAAATTGTTAAAATTGATGAAGTACGGTACATTTTCCAGATACATTATTAAATGAAAAAAGTAGGTTCAGAATATATTACAAATTTATATTTTAAAAAGAAAAAATGTATTTCACACAAATACCTATATATAACACACATGCACAACTCCCTCACTAGTGGTCTCTGAGAGAGGACTAGGTGACCAAGAGGCAAAGGTGGGAGGGCGACTTTGAACTTTATACTCTATTATGTACTGAACATTGGTGTCTATCCCCCTCCAATTCATATGTTGAAGTCCTAACCTATTGTGATGGTATTTTGAAATGAGGACGTGTGGAAGTGATGAGGTTTAGATGAGGTCATAAGCTGGGGCCATCATGATAAGATTAGTGTTCTTATAAGAAGAGACAAAGACACACAAGGGTTTCTCTCCATGGGCATGCACTGAGAAAAGACCACATGAGCACACAGCAAAATGGTAGCCATCTACAAGTCAGGAAGAGGGCCCTCACCAAGAACCAAATCTGTTAGCGCCATGATCTTAGACGTCCCAGCCTCTAGCACTGTGAGAACTAAATGTCTGTTGTTAAGCTACCCAGTTTGTTATAGCAGTCCAGCTGACTATACTTTTTGGGGTTTGGGGAATGTATCATTTATTCAAAATATAAATTTTAAAATGTTTGGAAGTACTATAATACAATCACCAAAAAAAAAATGCAAACTAGGCAAAAGCAAACCTTTAACTCTCATGATTTGCTATATGCCCTGGAAATTATATAAATAGGAAAATTTTAGAGTTGGAACTCAAGAGATTAATGAATTAACCCCTTCATCTCTCACTGCATTAGAAGCAAGAAATATATTGGAAGCTTTCATTAACTCTAATTACTAGAAAGTGGAATTTGTGATAAGCTAGGACTTGCTTATATCCTTTCTAGGAATATACAGTTATTTTAAAGTTACAAGGCTGTTCCCATTTATAAGGCCACCTTACAAGAAAAATTCTAAAGAAAGCATTTTAGAGAGGACTCAGTTTATGAAAAATAATAATAGAATTATTTTGAGTTTAAAATAATGTGGTTAGAAATGTTTGTCAAGTAAATAACCAAATTGGAGCATTAATACATATCATTCTTAAATAAAAATAATCATAAATTATTATGTAATTATCAATATATTTTTAAAAACTCAAGATGTTAATACAGAAAAAAAGCACATTTCAAAATAGTATACATAGTATGATTTCACACACATGCACAGAGTATGTCAAAAGGAATTTTATGAGTGGTAGGATTACTGATTATCTCAAGTTTCTTCCTTTGGCTTATACATATTTAACAACTTTATTTTTGTCTAATAAAATTTTTTAAAATTTTGTCACAGATATATATAACTTGATGTGACTCTGAAATATATATAAATTACTTTTTGCTAAATCAAGCACACACAGAAACATGTATCCAAAAAGTCCTTGTATGATAAATAACCAACACGCTTTTTGACATACATTTTTAAAAACTGTGTTCTAAGACTTAGGTCTGACTGTATTATTGTTTTAATATTATTAAGTATTAAGTAATAACATGGTTAATAAACCTTAATGAAAGTAGACCTCCTGAACCATCTAGTCTAAATACACTTTGTTTGTTTTTTTTTTTGAGTTGGAGTCTCACTCTGTCGCCCAGACTGGAGTGCAGTGGCCGCTCCCGGCCACCGCACCCTCAACCTGCTGGGCTCCGGCGATCCTTCCGCCTCAGTCTTCTGAATAGCCGGAATTACAGGCATGCGCTACCACGCCCAGTTGATTTTTTGATTTATTGTAGAGATGAGGTCTCGCTGCCCAGGCGGGTCTCGAACCCGCGGGCTCAGGCAATCCACTCACCTCAGCCTCCCAAAGGCGCGGGATTACAGGCTGAGCCACCGAGCCCGGCTAAATACACTTTGTAAGAGAGTGTTCCACCAAAACACTTGGACACATCAGAGAAAAGACTTTGTGAGTTTCATGTTTTCCTCTGAAACAGAAGTAAAACATGTTTACTCAGGGCACTTAATTCAGTCTGGCTTCAAATGTTTTGGTTAATCTTATTTAAGCAAAACCAAATAACCGAGTTTAACATATTTTTAAAATCTCTTTTTTGCAATGAGCAAATTTCCCCTTTCTAAAAGCAAATATTTTATGAACTTGAGAGTACATGATTCTGCTTTAGAACATAATCTCTCTGATTAAGAAACTCTGCACTTTATCTTACTGAAATCCAAGCATACAGATGCTAGTCTAAAGCTCAAGTCAGAGTATGTCCCATTGCTGCGTCAATTAACAATGGGCAAATGCAAAATGTTGTTGCTCAAAGTGAAGAAATTATGTAATAGTTCAAGGATTCCAGTGGATATGATCGAAACCCGACAGACAGGTTTAGGCTGGCTTGCTTCTACCTCTCAGAACTAGAGTAATTTTAACTACTTGAAAGTTCCTCTAACTTAGGCACTCACTGAAAAGTTCTTACTCTTTTTTATTTATTTATATTTTTTTTCTCTTACAATAGAAAAGTATGTTCAGTTTTGAAAATCCAGAAAATATTTAAAGAAAAGTCTGAAAAAGAAAATGAAATCACTCGTAATCATACCAGCCAGAGTGTTTGTGTGTATATGTGTATGTATATATATGTATGTATGTATAACCTTTAAACAAAATAGTCATAAAATATAGTTAATAGCCTATCATTAGTAAATCCTCATGCTAATTAGGGCACGCCATAACTTAATTAACCAATCCCTATTTTGAACAATCAGATTGCTAATTTTCCCCTATATATAATAATATATTATAGACAATATATAACACTGAGATGAATATTCTCATATGTAACATTATTATGCACCTCTGATTATTTCCCAAGGGTAAATTCCTAAAAGTGAAATAGCTGAAAGAAAATAAACATTTTCTAAACCTTCTGGTGTATGTTGCCAACTTGCCACTTTTCACATTACTAACCTTCTTACTTTACTTTTCAAACTAGCTGAGGCTACAGACGCGTCTGTGAATTCAAACAAATGACCTGTCTATTCTGCTTATGAAAACAACACATTAACCAGTCATAATGGGCCCATGAAAACTGTGCCAGTATAAACAAGCAAGCACACATGTATTCCTAAGAGGCCCTTGGATCTGGTTTGGAATTCTCCCTCCACCAGTTACTAGGTGTGTGACCTTGGACAGTTCACCGTTTTCTTAACTAGCCACTGTGGGTCTCAGTGTCCTCATCTTTGGCAGCATTAGCTATATTAAACATTACATCAAGGGTGGCACTAGTGACTTATATTTTGAAGTGCTGCAGCACCAGGGACATAGCACAGGCTTTGTCCACCCTGCAGAACACAGGCAGATCTCTGTATCTCCATGCATTATTTTCTCATCCAGTAAAATACCTCATAAACCTGTTGAGGAGATTAAATGAGATCATATGTACAGCTCCTGGCACATGTAGGCACCTTAATTATTCAGGTTTAAAAAATATGTCTCAAACCCAAAACAATCCAGAAGCTGCAAGGATGAGCAAGTCACACTTTCTACGCTCCAGGAGTGTCTGACGGGTCTAGAAGACAGACAGTCACAGGCACACTTGTCCAGGGGAAGGGTTAGGAGGCAAAGCTGTGAAGGCTAAGTCATCTGGGCTATAGTCCCCAGGTCACTGGAGCCAGTGAGGGATTCTGTATAGGAGACTAACTTGATCAGAGGTGCACTCTCCAGCACCACTTGAGGTCTGGCAGCCTTCCAGTAGAAGGAAGCCAAGACACAGCACTTCCCCTCCAGGAGTCAGTCCGGCTCTCACTCGGCCTAGGAACCCAGTAGCTGCTGACAGATCAGCAAGGGACTGTATGGATCCAGCCATGGAGTGCAGGGGTGAAGAGGCTCCTCTTAAAGAGCTCCATCCCAATTTCAAGCTTTTAGAAGTGTTAAGAATTCTTGATGAGATCAAAGGGTCAAACCGACTTCTTTTTTTTTTTCTTTTTTTTTTGAGTCAGTCTCACTCTATTTCCCAGGCTGGAGTGCAGTGGTATGATCACAGCTCACTGCAGCCTCAACCTCCTGGGCTCCTGTGAGCCTCCCTCCTTAGCCTCCCAAGTAGCTAGGGTTACAAGTGCTCACCACCATGCCTGGCTAACGTTTTTATTTTTCGTAGAGATGAGGTCTTGCTATGTTGCCCAGGGCAGCCTATTTCTTCCCATGACCATTTACTCAAATCCCTGACATACAATACTTGCCTGCTAACATAAGCAGAAAAAATTTTAAAGGAAAAGTGAGAATTTGTTGATTCAACAATGTTTTTCATATAGAGGTACTGATGGTTGTGATTTTACAATGTTTCAATTATATCACAGCTATATTGTCTGCCAGCAAAGGTATTCTCAATCTGCATATTAGAGTTCCATAGAACAGCAGAGTGCAAAAGCATGACTTCCTGGTGCTGCCTCAGGGAGTGACATGGGAGTTGTCTTTGAGAACAGATCTATCATTGTCAAATTCAGTTCCTCTTAGAGTGGGAGTAGAATAGAACCTGCTGGGAGGGGGGATGTTTAGATCTCCCATTTAAAATAGTTCCAAAGATGTAAACTTAGTAAGAAAGGGAAAAAAAAAAATCAGCTTGTCACTGCAATCAAAAGATGCAAGAACAGCTGGGATCGGTGGCTCAGCCTATAATCCCGGCGCTTTGGGAGGCTGAGGTGAGTGGATGCCTGAGTCCGCGGGTTCGAGACCCGCCTGGGCAACTTGGCAAGACCTCATCTCTACAATAAATAAAAAAATCAGCCGGGTGTGGTGGCGCGCGCTTGTAGTTCCAGCTACTTGGAAGGCTGAGGTGGAAGGATCGCTGGAGCCCAGCAGGTCGTGGCTGTAGTGGCCGGGACTCCAGTTTGGGTGACGGAGTGAGACTCTGACTCAAAAAAAAAAAAAAAAAAGAAAGAAAAGATGCAAGACCCAATTTAAGATCAAGCTAATAATACAAGTGCTAAGGCAGTAGCCCAGTCAAATCCAAGCAAATTATTCAAGGAAAAATTATTCAAGGAAAACAGAGGCAACACAGTCAATGGCAAATGCCCTGAGGGAATCAGGGGACCTGGGTCACACTTACCTGGAAGTAGCTGTATGGGTTGAGGAACTTATACTAAAGTACAGAGGGAAGTTTAGTTAATAAAACGTCAAGAGCAAGTTAAAACCTCTGGAAACTGAAAATGCTTGTGGGTAAATGAATTTAAAAATTTTTCTAATTACATCGTATATATTAATCCAGGGCAGGGTATTTTGTAGTTTCACCAAGCTCTCCACAAAATATTTACTTACACTTCCTATTTCTTCCCTCACTTTGCATCTCCTAAGATTCACGTTTGCATTACAAGGCATGGCCTATTATTACACGTCACAGGAAAAATGCTCAAACCCCTTCCTAAAGGAATTACACTAACGAACAAACAAGAAGCCCTCCAGGGCCTCTGGCAAGGGCATCCCGGGAAGACACAGACGCCTCTTTGGGGAAACCTTGCAAAGCGATCGCCCTCCCCGGCCCGGCAGGTCTGCCGATCCCTCCGATCCCACGAGGGCCCGGCCGAGCCCGCGGCGGGGTGAGGGGCCGGACAGCCACAGCCGCTCCCGGCAGAACGGCGGAACCGGGCTGTCCCGGCGGTGGCACCCGAGAGCCGGGGCCACCGGGGCGCTGAGGCCAAGCCAGAGGAGCCGGCCGGCCGCCCCGCCGCCCGCCGCGCCCAGGCCTGCGCTGGGCGTGCTCGGGGGCGGAGGGCGCGGCTCCAGCCCGCGTCCGCTGGGCGCGGCTCCAGCGTCGGGCACCGCGCGGGCGACTGGGCTGGGACGCGGGCGGGCGCGGGCCAGGCTCCCGGGGCCGCGGGGACGACCCGGCGGGGAGCCGGGCGAGCGCTCCGCCAGGACACAGAGGCCGGCGCGGGCCGAGGCCCGAGAGCGAGGCCGGAGGCCGGGCGCGCCCACCGCGGGCTCTTCGGGAGGGCCGGCCGCCGCCCTACCTTCTCCTCGCCGTCGTAGATGCGCACCCCGCGCTGCTGGATCACCAGGGTATCTTTGATCTCCAGGAGGCCGCTGGTCCACGTGAAGCGGTCCATGGCCGCGCGCCCGATCGCCCGAGCCGGCGCTACCGGGCCGCCAGCCGGGCAGCCTGCGGCGCCCCCTGGCGGCGGGCGGGGCGGAGGCTGGCTGGAAGGAAGGAAGGGAGCGGGGAGCGGCCTGGCCCGGAGCGGGCGCGGCTCCGAGGTGCTCGGGGACTGGGAGGCGTGCGTGGAGCGTCCCCTGGCCGGCCGGCCGTCGATGGTCTCTTAGAGCCTTTGATCAGCTGGCCGTCCAGCCCCTCAAACACCGAGAGCTCACAGGGGACGTCCAGGGAGCCTCGATCACAACTTGGACTTTCTTACTGTGCGATGCCTGCCTATTTGTGGCAGTTTTCTTGTCAGTGCCCATCACGTTTCCATATTCACTAAAGGTGCAAGTAATAGTAACCTTTAAAAAACAATGAATATTTATGGCATGAATTGTTTTTATACAGCTGCAGTCAGTATGTTAAATAGGGGGATGGCTTGAGCCCAGGAGTTCGAGACCAGCATGGGCAACACAGAAAGCCTCCCCCAATATATACATCCCATCCTGATGTCAAAAAAGACTCTTGTTTAAACATTTCCAATATTAATATAGACCTCATGAGCATACTCTAGATCCTGTTCTAGATAATATTTCAATATGTAGATCTCCCATAATTTACCTGTTTGTTGGTCTGTGCAAAGTCGTCCGTGGCTGTTGCTCACACCAGCTAGGTAGGCCTCCCCAAATGGCCCTTTCATTTTATTTCTATTGTTTGCTCTACGAATGGAGCAACTATGTATGTCCTTATACAATGAAGGGAGAAGACGAAACCCAGAAAAGGAGATCAAGAAGGAGCTACTAGTAAAGTAGTTAAGACAAGCAGGAGAGAGTGGTGTCCTGGAAACCAAGAGAAGAAAGCGTGTCAGGCAGGAGGAAAGGTACAATTCTGCTGATGGGTTAAGTGCTGAGAATTGATGGCTACTTTAAACCACATGGAGTTATTATTGGTTACTGGTGACCTTAACAACAGTGAGTGAAATGAAATAGAGGAAAGAAAGTCTTATTGACGTGATTCTAAGAAAGAATAAGAGGTCAAGAATTGTAGACAAGGAGTATAGACAACTCCTTTGAGAAGTTCTGCTGTAAAGGAGAGAGCAAAGAAATGATTGCTAATAGGAAGAAGTGAAGTTGAGAGAAGCTGGATTTGTTTATTTGTTTGCATTTACGGTGGATAAAATAATCTGTTTGAGTGTTGAAGGCAATGGTGGAAGGAAAATACTGATGAGGTCTGAGAGAGAAGAGACTTGCTCGAGTGATGTCCTTGAGTAGGAGAGAGGGAATGCACAAAGAGCATCAGAAAAGTTTCACCTGGTAGAGAAAAGGGCAGACTATGTGAGTGTGGGTGCGCAGAGGTGGGTAGATACTGCACTGGGAATCTGCACACATTCTGTGGATTGTTTCAGTGCCTTGGGAGAGGAAGCAAGACTGAGAGAGAAGAGGTACAAGTGCAAGAGAGAAGGTGTGATAGCCTGGCCCACTTGAGGTTCCTTGACATGCATGCAAAATGAAATCAGGGTGGGCTTTCCCCAGCCATATTGGCTGGGAGCATGGCATGGGAGAACAGGAAAGAGGTTGATTTAATTAGACATGGATAGACATTGCCAAGCTACGGACTGAGAGAGGAACTTGGGAAGGGTATAAAAAAGCCTGATTCTAGACAACTTCTTCCTAAATGGCCTGTTCTTTCTGCCTAGCAGTTGTAAAATTGTTTTCATCAACCTTGAGGTCCAGAAATGTTACCAGGTGCAAGATGCTAGGTATGTATTTAGGTATGTATCCTTTTTTTTGGTTCTACCTGTGAGTTAATGAGGCTTTTCAATTTGATGACTAAATTTATTTGTTTTCTTCTCTTCAGAAAAATGTTTCTCTATATTTATTTGATTATTTCTTCTGATTTCTCCATTCTTTTTTTGCACCTGCAAGTTCTGATTATTTGTGAATTAGTAAGTTTATGAGAGTAGTCTGTTTCCCATGGCCCTTGCCTTTTCTCTCAGTGGAGTCATTTTTTTTTTTTTAAGAGACAAGGTCTTGTTCTGTTGCCTAGGCTGGAGTGCAGTGGTGTGATTATAGCTCACAGTTATATTTTAAATAACATTTTCTTCTATTATATCCCTGAGTCCTGCACTTCATAGTAGCCCCCATCCTGGTTCATCTTGGTCCCTTTCCTTTAAGCCACCATCTTCTTAAGTGGCTTATGATCACTTTTGCGTTCATGCATTAGTGTATGTGAGCTCCCCAATGCCTGATAGATCAGCCTATCAGGGTCTCACATGGCAAGGACTGACAAGTGTTTTGTCCAGGGGACCAGAGGTGATTGGATCAACAAGTTGAGAACCTCTCTTCTGAGTCACATCAAGGGAGACCTCTCAGTCAGCCTACTCACCCATTCAACAAATATTCCAGAAACATTTATTGAGCTCCTACTGTGCACCCAGGACTATTCTAGGTATTTCAACTCTTCTGGTAAGAGAAACAGCTGTTTTCTCCCAAGTTAGGCAGAGCTGGGCATCTAGGGTAAGACAAATGTACCCCTACCACCAGGTACAAATTTTAACAGGGTGCCAAAAAAAAAACTCAGTCATCAAGAGAAATGATATTTTAAAGCATAGTTTAAGAAATCCAAATTAATGTGAACAATCTACGATGAACAAAATATCCCTTTTAAATAAAGACAGGCCACAACAGGTCTGTATTAGAGCAAAAAGAATGCCTCACTCACCTCCCCTCATCCCAGTCATTCAGATCCAAAGCTGTCTGCCCATGTGGGCAGAGAAGCAGAGGGCAGACTGGGTCCCGCCCCCCCCAACACCCTCCCTTTTGTCATGGAGTCAGTGGTCTGTAGCCAAACTCTCCAAAAAAAGGCAAATGTCTTTCCAGTGGTCATTAACCGTCTTTTCCTCACTGAAGTGAATTGCTACCTTTACCCTGTTATAAAATCCTGTGTATATTTTGGACTATTTCTAAACTATCTTTTCTGTATTTCATATTTTTTATTTCTATTATGATCATGTGACCAATAACTAAATGTTCTTTGAAAGCATTTTATTCACTGTAATATGGTATCATCATATATCACAATTTACTGTCATTTTCTGATTTTGAGCATTAGATTGTTTATAATTTTTAGTCTTTGTTTCTTTTTTGATTCAGGGTATCATTCTTTTGCCCAGGCTGGAGTGCAGTGGCACAGTCATGGCTCACCACAGCCTCGAATTCCTCAGGTCAGGCGACCCTTCCACCTCAGCCTCCCGAATAACTGGGACCATAAGCACACACCACTACACCCAGTTAATTTTTTGATATTTTGTAGAGACAAAGTCTTACTATGTTGTCCAGGCTGGTTTCGAACTCCTGGGCTCAAACAATTCTCCTGCCTCAGCCTCCCAAAATTCTGGAATTGCAGGTATAAGCCACTGCACCCAGCATAGTATTTTTTCTTTTCTTTTCTTTTTTTATTGAAAATAACTGACAAGTGCGTTTTTGTCCAGGGGACCACAGGTGATTGGATCAGTAAGTTGAGAACCTCTCTTCTGAGTCACATCAAGTGACTCAGCATCCTAATCAAATGTGGAACTCTGCAGTTTTGCCTCAGCTTTGCAATGATCAAAATACTAGGCAGCGAGGACATGGAAACAAGGTATATTTTCTGTCTTTGAGGGGTGGACAGTCTGTAGTTCACAAATAAGTCTGTCATATGACAGCTGCAGGGATGGACTACTGTACAAGGGTTTCCTGTTTCCAGGCTGAAGCAAGGAGAAATGTCATGTGTCTTACACATGGCAAGAAATGAGAATGGAGTAGGCAAAAGGTTTTAAATTTAACAAAGTCCAATATGTTTTTTCTTTCATAGTTAGTGTTTTTTCTTTTATAGTTCGTGTTTTTGTCTCCTGTTTAAGAGATCCTTTTTTTAAACCAGTCAATGATTGATGCCAATTAAGAAATCTTTGCCTAACACAAAGATTCTCCTATCATTTCTTCTAGATATTTCATAGTTTGGGTTCTTACATTCAGATATATGCTCCAATTTGAGGTTGTTGGGTTTTTTGTTTTTGTTTGCTGCTTTTTGTACAAGTGATGTGGTAAGGTAACCCCTTCAGGTCCCCTCCCACTGTGGGAGCTTTTCTACCCTCTCAATAAATTCTGCTTTAAAACAGAGAGAGCGAGAGAGATGTGGTAAGGGTGAAAGTTAGTATTTTGTATGTAGATATCCAGTTGTCCCAGTGCTATTTATTCGAAAGATTAACCTTCTCCTCCACTGAGTAGTCTCAGAAATTTTGTAAAAATCAATTGACCAGATAGGCTTGATTATACTTTCAGTATCTCTAGTATATTCATCAATTTATGTATTTCTTCACACCAGTGGCACACTGTCTTCATTATTATAGTTTTATGATAAGTCTGGAAATCATGTGGTGTTAATCTTTCAACTTTGCTCTGTTTCAAAATGATTTTGTCTACTCTAGATCCTTTGCACTTTCATTTAAGTTTTAGAATTGGATTGTCAATTTATTTTTTCCCCAAACAACAACAGAAACACAAATTGCCAATTTCTGTAGAAAAGCCTTTTAGGATTTCTTATAGGGATGGGCTGAATAGATCAATTTGAAGAAAATGGTCTTCTTAACATTATAGGATCTTCCAATCAATGAGCATGCAATATCTCTTCATTTGTTTAAGGTTTCTTTAATTTATCTCAGCAATATTTTATACTTTCCACAGAATATTCTCACCAGAACCTCCTATCTTCTGAATCCAGTGGATCCCTTCATTCTCAAATCTAGTAGACCTCTGCAGCACACAATGGTCTATTCCCTCTTCCTTCAGCCTCTCTCTTCCCACCCTGTCCTTGTTGTTCTTCTATTCTTCAGATCGTTCCACCCTCTTCTCACACAGGTGCCTTACTTGCTTCACGTGACCACAGGAGGAACAAATGAAGCTAATAATTGATGCCCCAGGTGCCTGCAGTTTCATGTCAGCTGCATTGGCAAAGACCAGTTCTGGAAGTTAGTCTTTTCTTTGTATCTTTTAGAAAAGTGTCTGCCTCCCTTCAGCAATCGTGGAATGATGATATAAAAAAAAAGGTATCTAAAAAATTATACTGTCCTTGGAGTGGGTGAGTTTGGAGATTAGAGGAGGATTGCCATGTTGGAAAACCAGGCAATTTTGCAGGTTTTCCTACTTACCATCTCAGACTATTGAGATCTCCATGGTACCCTTTGAGTCACTTTGTTTTTTTTGAGTTGGAGTCTCACTCTGTCGCCCAGACTGGAGTGCAGTGGCCACTCCCGGCCACCGCAGCCTCGACCTGCTGGGCTCTGGCGATCCTTCCACCTCAGCCTTCCAAGTAGCTGGAACTACAGGCTCGCGCTACCATGCCTGGCTGATTTTTTTATTTATTGTAGAGATGAGGTCTTTCTGCCCAGGCAGGTCTCGAACCGGCGGGCTCAGGCAATCCACTCACCTCAGCCTCCCAAAGGCGCGGGATTACAGGTTGAGCCACTGAGCCTGGAGAGTCACTTTCTTTTTCTTTTTTTTTTTGACCATGCCCACTTTTTAAAAATGGAGGTGACATTTATATAACAAAATTAGCCATTTTAAAGCAAATAGTTCAGTAGCATTAATACATTTACAAAGTTGTACAACCATTACTTCTATCTAATTCCAAAACACTTTCATTACTTCAAAATAAGATTCCTTACTCGTTAAGCAATCTCTCCTCAGTCTCCCTTATCTCCTCTGGCAACCACCAATCTGTTATTTTTCTATAGATTTATCTATTCTGGATATTTTGTATAAATGGGATCATACTATATGTGACATTTTGTATATGGCTTCTTACACTTAGCATAATGTGTTTTGAAGATTCTTGAGCTACTTGTCAATTGTTCTAAATTGTGTTAAACTGTTCTCTCACTTGATGAGAATCCCTTGGTTACCCAACCTGTCTGATGAATCTTTAGTAAATAATTATCAATATTGACAGTAGTATGTAAACAGATGATGAGGGTGATGGGCGCTGTTTGGTTGTTGGTTCTCTCACAGGTGGCCTTAAATGTAGGCAAAGTTGCACTAAAAATGGGACATTGTATCAAATAAAAAAAATTCAGAAAATTCCCAACCAAATTCCATGTTAGCAAGATGCTACCATAAGATGTCTGAAGAAAAAAAGCAGACAAAAGTGGGAAAAACTGACCACAACTGAGGGTCAGCTGTGGAGACCCTCAGACTCGGGAAGGGAAGGTAGAGAGAGATCACATCCTCCCACCTCTGACCCCACACTAAAAATGTGGCGGAAACAGAGTCCAATACAGACTTGCTGCAGTGATTAAGCAAGAGAAGAAATGTGAAATTAGTGCTTAAAACCAGGAAGACACAGTCTGGAGTCACCCTAACTTCCCCACTTCTACCCCTAAAACCTTCTTGCTCTGAATTGTTTAGTTCTATCTTGTGGGTTGAGTGTGCGCGTTTTATGAGGGTGATATTTTTAGATGAAGAAAATGAGCGATTATAGCGGCACGCTTAAACACACAAGCACAAAACGTTGACAACAAATGGGATTTTATCTTCACAGAAGGATTACATACAACGCTGGGGAGAGGGTGGGACCTGTCCTCATTTTATCCGTTTCTCTTCCTCACCCCCCTTTTTTGCATCTGATAATTGTGCAGGGTAAAGGTATGGAAAGTAGATCTCATTTCCCTTTTGCAAGCAAATAACGTCTGAGCCTTTCACTTCATCTGATGTCATCATATCATGGTTATGCTCAACAGTGAAGTACTATTTGGGAAAGGGAAATGCACTTGCTCTTGGTACGCTAGTTCGATGTTTACGTCCTCATTAGGGACCGCGCGAATGTTTATTAAGAGGCACAGCCAATCAACACTTGTCTTTTTCTCGCCCGCCTTCCTCAGTGGACAGTGAGGGTCTGAAGATGTGTTCTCTCTCGGGTCTTTGTCAGTCTAGTCCTGCTACGTCCTGTGGACTCAACAGGCCGACACCTCCCCACGTCGCATGTCCAGGATGGGCGTTACAGTGTTTGGGTTTGAAATCTGCAAGCGCAGCGCCCCTTACAGAAGAGTGCAGACGCCGGCCTGCCTTGGTCCGCGGCAGCCCAGACCCCGCCCCTCTGCGCCCATTGGCTCGTTCAATTCGCGCACGCACCAATGGGCCGAGGCGGCAGCCGCGGTTTCGGGTCCCCAGCCGAAGCGGCGGGCACAGGGCGCGTTGGCGGTGGCCTGAAGGAGCTCTGGGCGGCCTAACGGAGACCGATCCCCGTATCCCAGGCTGCGGTAAGCACCCTAGCCGTGCCCCGGGACGTGCGGCTGCCCCCGAGTCGGAGAGCCTTGTGCGCGTCCAAAGGTAAGGGCCGTGGTGGCGGGAGCGGCGCTTTGCCTTAGGGGGCGCGGGGCGGACGGGGTTCAAAGTCAGGGCCTGGGGTGCGCCGACTCGCCTCGCCCCACCTAAATGTGTGAGAGCCCCGAATGGCTCGCTCGGTCTCGCCCGGCCACGTTGTTGGCGTTGGTGGAGCTGGCCATGAAAGCCGTGCCTACCCCGCGGTGTTAGTGTGTATTTGCAGCTGGGCCGGCGTGGCCCAGTGGCAAGCAAGGCGGGCTTAGCTACTGTTGTGGATGGAGTCCGTTTAGCTGGGGAGGTGGGGAAGAGGACGGGGGGGAGCGGCAGGCCCCTGTCTCCGACCTTATCACTAGCCCCGGCATTTAACACAATATTTTCTTCTTGAAATACAGTTGGTCCTTCTCATTGTCCTTTGTAGATAATCCTTATCTTCCTCATCATCAACTGCTGCTGTGCCCTAGAACTCAAGATCATAAAAGGAGGGACCCCC